GTGCTACGGGCACTGAGCCACCTAAGGAAATTTCATGCTAACTTTAGAACAAAAACTGTATTGTGTAGCTAAAAAGAATTTTTAGCCCTTTGCTTATAATTAAAGACTGCCGATTCAGTGTGCTTAAGCAGGCTTTCAAAAATATGAATAGTCACAACCTGTTGATTTGGGAACTCTGTGTGGTAAAGTGTTGTTTATCATCTATACAAAAAACCACACCATTCCCTCCTTAGAACCTTCATTTATTTTCTAAAAGAAATGGCATTTAGGAATAAACTTAAATTGGGGTATTAGTTGTCTCTTTGTCTCTCTTTTATTATAATTTACTTTTGATTATTTTAGCCAATAACACTACTAAATCTCAATGACAAATATGTTTAAACTAATTCACAAAGCAAACTAACTTATTTTAGTTATCAATCTGCTTAGAAATGATATTTATAAAGTAACAACTTTTTCTTGTTCTATTTAGGAATGAAAATTAAAAGGCAATAATTGTAGAATGACGACTTCACTTAATAAATGCTACCTTAAGTATTCAAGCCAGTAACCCCAACACCTCCACCTGAATTCTATCTCCACACGAAGCTCCCTGAACCTCGCCAACTATCTGCTTATCCAAGAGGCTCAGCCAGCAGCACGGGGTTCCCACCACCCCAATTCTGAGAAGAGGCCCCAGGGCTTCACAGTGTTCTTTGAACACTGTCAAGAAGAATTTCTAGATGTTTCCGTATGACAAGGCATTGATGCCCTGCTGGATTTGGGCGAGTGGATCGACTACATATTGGAAGCCTACAATAAAGAGAATAATCTGAAATGACTCTGCTGTGGATCTGGCACCAGCCACCACTGATGAATGGAAACTTGTCACTAAGGTGGAGAAGCTGCTTTGGGCGAGAGTTTTGCAGAAAGTAGGAGCAGTGAACAGAGTGGTTAACGTGTTGGGGAAGCAGAAACTTCCCTGGCTTCTGTTCTGAAGATGCTCCTGTTCCCGCTCAGCCAATCTCTGCCCCCCGACATCTGTATTTAGGACCCAACCAGTCATTTGTATATTTAGTTTATGGAAAATGAGTACATTGTTAAAGACATGAAAGGTCATTCTGTAATGTTTCCTCAACCAATTTTATACACACACATACCCATTGTATTTGCAATTCAAACAGTGCTTTGCAGTACTTTATAGTTTTAGCTCTCAACAACCCTGTGACAAGGACGTCACCACCTTTCATGAGGTCATGCAGGCAGTGGCAGGTGGCTGATGAGGGAGACTATGTGTGGTTAAACTGACACGTTTCAGATCCCAGCTGTTCAGACCCCACTTGCCAGCTTCTGTGACCCTGGCGAGGTGTCTGGTAATACACTTTGCACCTCGGTTTGCACATCAGTAAACGGGAAAGGACATCACCTGTGTGCATGTGTTGTGAAAATAAGATTCACACAGAAAGTGTAATCTGAAGTCTATGGTTCCTGCATCTACCAGGTACTTGATATATGTTCATATTTTTACCTTCCCAGAAAACTGAAGATTCTGTGAGTAAGCATTAGGTAAGTATTATGTAAGTGGAAGGCAGTATTAAGTGTAAAAGTTAGGACAATATTCCCAAATTCTCACTTACAAATTAAAACATATGGAAAGCGTATTTATGCCTTTCAACTGTGAGCTACAGTGAACAAAAGGGAAAGTAAAAACCAAGCGAACAAATGGATTGACAGCTTAGAATATGGAACCCAAGTCAGGCTTTCGCAGCCCTTCACACTGTCATTCTGGGCTCCGTCAGAGGGGAACCGAGTACTTAGAAAGGAGCCAGGTGGAGCACAGATATCAATGGAAAATCAGTTTTTGCCATACAACTATGAGGATTATAATGACCTGTAACGAACACCATTGGAAGACATGGATGAATGCTAAGTAGTATTCAGTTGCAAATCTAACCCTATGATGCTGCAAAGAGGGTTAGGGTACAACAAAATGGTCAGAACTCAAGGGAAATTGGAATTGACATCTTTTATTTAGGATACAGGGCAGGAGGAATCAAAAGTATATCATGTATAATAAGAGTGCACGTTCACCCCCTTTGCATGGAAAGCTAAAATGTCTGGCTCTTAGGGCATCATCATCTTTCACAGTAACTGACTATTCAACGTACCAATGTTTTGCTGTGCCAAACATTCTGAAGACGCTAAGAAATTCCATCATGAACTGCCTATAGTGTGGGTGCTTTCTTTTAAGTGAAGACAAAATGCTTGTTCCGGGTGAGTGCAGTTGGTTCCCAGTGGGAAGGGCAAGTGTGCTGGAAATGGACTCATTCCCAATGCTACTGAGTTGACACAGGCATTAAGAGAGGCAGAAACATGCACAAAGTTGGGCGTTTCTATTTAATTTTCTTACAAGCAATGCAACTGATGAAAAGAGGATCACGCATAAAACAGTCATGGGCATAAGAAAGTTAATGTAAAATGCATAGGTGGACGTCATTTGTTCATTCAGCAGACACTTTCCGGAGCCCGAATGCCAGGCACTGTGAGGATACAGAAGTCATCACACTTGAATTGATAGTAAACCTTGAAATTCTGCTGTAGGAAGGACTCGTAGAATCCTCTCTAGCTGAATTCTCTTGTGTCACAATACTACTAGGAAGAGACTCAGCCATACAGAGAGACAATTCTGGGTTCCAATCCTAGCTCTAGTGCTCTAATATCTGTGTGACAGTGGCTAGCTGACTTAACCTCTGGAGTCTATTCCCTTATTAATACCATTGTAAGGGTTTTATGTGGGTTACACATTTCAGTTATATAAAGCAATGGTACATACTGTCAGGCAATAGATCTTCACCCTACCCTGAGGGATTATCTTTATTTCTACCCCACCCCCAACCCCCTCCTGGAGGATCCCAGGGAAATGGGAGTGCTATTTCCTTCCCTGTCAGCCAGGGGAAGCTTCATAGCCCTCTAGAAGCTAAGGTTCAGATATTTATTATATTCTCTTTCCAAAATTTAATTTTTAATTTCATCTTTTAAAGTTTAGTGTTGCGAGGTAGAATCTGAAACCGTATCAGTGATCTTCGGATAACAACTCTGTTATATTAAAATCTACTGCCTTGCACTTTGAATGGGTCTTCCACCTGTGCAATGTTATGCATTAGTCATTTGGAAAACCTTGTTTCCCCCAGGTCTGCAGATCTTCCAAATGCTGACACAGTTCACCATGTAACAGAAAAGAGTCCTGACTGTCAACTCACAGTGGCCGATGTCAACCCTCTAAAATTCTGGGTTTTGTTTGAAACCTATATTTTATCGATTGGCAACAAGTACTTTTAGTTGTCTTCCTTAAAGTGCTACGTGTACTTCAGTAATTTTTGAGCAAGCATCTGTCAAATACCCAAGGCTAAAACCCGCAGTTTACCTTTCTGGGTATTCCACTAAAAGAAGTGTCCAGTTCAGTTCAACTTGATCTTAAACATGTGCTCTTCTCTGAGCCAACCC